GACCTTGACTGGGCGAGCTCCCGGAGTCAGATCACAGGCTAGGGAACATAGCCTTCGAGGTGATACCGTAGAGAAGTGAAGTGGATCGGCTCCAGTGAGGAACTATCGGAGCTGCAGAATAAATGCCGTTGAGATCCCACGGGCCGTTACGCCTCATGAACAGGGGAAACAGAGTCTACCGGGAGATTTGAGAACAACAAGCGAAGGATTGCAGTGTAGTATCCCTTGATCAAGAAATGTGAAAGAGAAGAGAGAGGAGGGGGAGAGGGCTGAAGTTGGAACGCGGCGTTGCGCGCGAAAGCGGATCAAAGAGCGCTTAGGGGTGCCCCCTGCTTAGTACCGCAGCTAAAAGGCACGGTACCTATGCCAGATGCTATAGTTAGCCCAGGTTATCAAATCCAATGGGCAACAGCTCCAGAGCTCATGTATCAAATGCACAAGATTTGAGATCGGCGCGGGATTGTGGCGTGCAGATTCAAGGAGGACTGAAGTGGTGAACTGTCCAGGACCCGAGCGACGAGGCAGCTTCGCGCTTTACAGATTAGAACGTATAAGGTGTGTTACTGTAAGCTGTTGGTTACGATATGATCGCAGGAGGGGCTCGCGATTGAAATGGAGACAAAATGGTACAGGCAAATTGGCGGCCGTCCAGGTACAAGACAAAGTGCAGCCAAAGGCAGACCGGAGGGCAGACAAGAAGAGATTGTGGCAGAACCAAACAGAAGTGAGGCTTGATCAGTCAGAGCCGGCGTCTTGATTAAGAGAAATCCAGACCAAGGCGGTAAGATCGTGCGGTAGTTGGTACAGTACATACATGTAGGGTCGAGAACAGAACGAGGGGCGTTGTAGGCGCAGGCGTGACATACAGTACAGTCTGGGCCTGGTTCCTTGTCCCCAGTCTCTTTAATCTGGCGCTTGTGTGATGCATTTGTTGGAGGAGGAGGAGTGGAGGAGCGCCCAGCTGCAGGGTTGTGGATGGGGACTCGTTTGCCAATAGGCGGGCCGTCGGGGAAACGGTTGTTTGATGTCTATGAATTTTGGTATTAACTGATGCTGCGATACTTGAACCGAGCACTGACATACAGCACTGGATACTAGTATTCCTCTATCGTGCTCTGCATGACCATCCATCTCGACGAGGCATTCTCAATGGGGGCTCTGTTGCCGAGGCGCATTCACCAAGCCCCACGCCCCATTATGAACCCTTGTTCCAGCTCGTCCATCACTTGGCCATTCAGGAACTTGAAGACAAGTCTCAAGGCATTTTTCTATTTCCGAGTTTGCAGTTCGAGTATATTGTGTGTGATGATATTGCGGCGCTGCCGGTCTTTGTTCGACCTCGAGGAGGCAGGACGGTTACCTGATTGCGAACAGTCTCTATGCGTCGTGTCGCACCAAACACTCTCACCAGCCCTGTAGGGTTTTCTTGATGTCACTGCCGATCTGAGACTTGTCTCAGTAGCAAGGCACAAGCTCCCGTTTAAACAGCATTGCTTGTTGCCCGACCATCTTAGTTTCCAGGCATCCATTTGAAACATTGAACTGGCAAGCTTCAGTTCTTCTTGTGTGGCTCTTAGTTTTTCCACTTTGTCTCGAGGCTGAGGCCAAAAGTCGCTACAAAACACAGCCTCCCGGGTGCTGTGCATGCATGAGCCTGTCAGGGCCTGACAACTGTTGGAGATCACAGATCACAGTCGATGCATTGCATAAAGCTATTAGAGTCGTTGTCGATCACATCAGTTGTCTCGCAGTTAATTCCGCTTTATTTACCCTTGATTCCGTAAAAGCATACTTGAGACCACGTGAGGTTGTATTGTTGCGCGCCCGATAGACGGACCAGCATAGTTTAAATGCGACCGTTTCGCCTGATTTAACATTGTGACATTATTAGTATCGTTGTCTCGTCGGTGGATCGCATGGGCTGACCCTTCAAGGCTGAAAGCGATAACCTAGACCAAACCCGTCGATAGACAATGACCCAAATGTGACGTTAAGAGTCTTGGAAATATAACTGCTCTCCAGTGTTCTCCATTTTTATCTGCGCGGTCCTGTCATTTGTTGCGTTGCGTTCCTGATTGGGCAACCATTGCGCAACCTGAAGAGGCCGAAATCGCGATGGATTGGATGGGGGCCAAGTCGACGAACTGCATGACCGAGGCCAAGCAATTAAATCCCGAGCCTAAGCTTGAGGCTGTGCATGTCATATTAAAAGGCGTCAGAGCCCAAAAGCTTGTTTAGTTGCTGTGTAAAGGATATGAGGTTGTGGATCGAATATGTGGCAGTGCACTCAAAAACAAACGATGAAGCTTCAGTTCTTCTATGGTAGCCGTAGAGTCGCAATGAATGGGACTGTATCATCCTTGTCAGATTTGGTTTCTCTTGGCTTATAAATGATACTCAAAGATTGGGTTTACGTATTATCTCTTCAGGCGGCATAAAGCTCCGGCGGGGTCACGACAGGGGTATAGGACCTATCAAAATGAGCGCTACTTGAAGTACATTCTCACACACCTAAATTTGCGTGTGATAGAAGTACTAGCAGTCAGCCGTGTTACAAATAGCTACATCACATACTTTGCAGCCGTACACGGTCTGCACCCTTCGTTCATTTCCTGATATCGGCTGGAGATAACCTCCTTTTTCCTTCTTCCTTTTAAAGGGTCGGGCCTGACCCTGCCGGAAGCCTTTGCAAGCTAGGCAGCTTGAATGTATGCCCCGATGGACATGATTGATATCTCTTTGTAGGTGAATTTGCTGTGCTTCTGTATCCTCGATATCTTCTTCTATTCCTGTATGGCCTCTCTTCCTTATATGACTTTTAGTTGCGTATCTGTTAAAAATGGCATTATAAATGCACTCCTTCTAAGCTTTAAGCGTGCTATAGGGCTTCTAATGAGGCTGCCGTGTTTTCTTCTGTAAAATGAAGCTATTCGCAAGTGCGACTTTAAGGAGGAAAGACCAAAGTAACGCTTGCTAAGGACTGCACCGGAATCGGTGCTGATATGTTGTATAAGACCGTATCTGATCGCCGCGGTCAACGTGATTCATTTTATCGTTATACTGAGCGGCAATAGTAGGAATAGGGATTATCTTGAAGCTATCACTATTGAAGACCTGCTGCAGGCGCTGTGACTCTGCCTTTGTGCCTCTTTTGGCGGGCTTTTTCCTCTTTTTTGGTATGCGCTTGTGAGGGGCTCTGCTAAGCATAGTTGAAAGGAAGAGCATGATGCTGCTATCTTTCCAAGCGATTTGGATGACCTAGGGAGCAAGGAAAAGGACAAATTAGTAAGGGAAATACAGGTAAAGCTATCTATACCTGTTTATCTTGTGTCGGGATTAAATATACCTTATTATATTGCAAAGCTATACTGTTAGGAGCTTTTCCGGTCTCTTTTATATGCTTTATCTTGGTGGTGATGCCGCAGTTAGGGCGTGCCGTGCCTGTGGCACCGTGGCCAAGCTGCCGAAGAAGGCGGAAGAGCTGCGGCGACGAGAAGAGGTTATCCGTGAAGACGTGATGTGTCTGCGTTGATAGCCTTTTTAGTAGGTAAACCACGACGCTTTGTGTATTGTTGAGAGGAATCTCGGTCCGTAGCTTTCCCTTCTTGCCATATGGCGTTGGTGTAGGTAGCTCGACTATAACAGCCTTGTATGGTGATGCCTTCACGTGCCAAAGCCACTGCAGAAAGAAGCCCTGTTGGGCGATAACCTAGACTTTGAACCCTACGGGCGTGGGTTTATTCTTGATGACTGTTGTCTCTTTTGATCTGCCTGTAAAAGGGATTATACACTCATTTATAGTGAGGTTAGTCCCTGGAGAATAGAGCTTGATAGATATGCTTTGTATGTGATTAGACCACTCTTTAGCTGCTTGGAAGGTCTTTGGAAGGTCGCTCTTATCCCTCATATCGAGCTTGGTGTAGTTAAAAGTGCGGAAATACCTCGTGATTAGCTCGAACTTCCGTAATGGCATGAACTTGATGATTGAGTGAAGAGGGCGCTGATCTCCTAGGCTAGGGGACTTCTAATGGTCTTTGATTGATATTTCCCTATGAATTCCTAGGTAAATAAGGACCCCAAGCCATACATAAGCTGTTGCGGTGGAGATGCCTTCCCACTTGAGAATGCGGGACTGTTTGGAAAGGGGGGTATTCTAGTTGTTAATAATGCCATTTTCAAGTAAGTGAGTGACCTAGCTATTGGTGTATTTAATCTATGACTGTATAAGGGAAATAGGTATGAAAAGCTGGAATAATTTAAGTGGTTCCTTGGGTAGAGGGTTGATCTTGAAATCACGATATTCTAGGTTGAAAGGTTGAAAATCATCACCGCAGCCCTCTTCGGGCGGAAAATTAGGCACGCCGGTAGGGTCATCAGCCGCCCTCAAAGGCGGGGTATTAAAGCTGTGATTATCTATATAATCAGGTATCTCTTGGGAGCTCATCGTTTTAATTAAGATGCGTTAGGGTCAATTTATATGAGGATTTTGACGATTTTGGCTGTGTTGAATGAAGAAGCTGTCTGACGAGAACTTCACGTACCCCGCAGGTACTAGTGTTGTTAGTAAGCAATGTGGGGCGAGTGACCTGCCGGAGCCTTATGCCGCTTAAAGAGATAGATGAATGCTTAAATATGCACGTGATATATGATTCACGCGATGGTTCCGATTACATCGTACAACATGAATAAGACAACTACCTATTGAGCTAACATCCAATAGACATAACATAACCAGCCTTCTCATGTGCGCTTTTTATCCATCGGCCCTGACGTGTAGTATTCAAATCCCACCTAATTTCATCGTACCTAATAACAATAAAGTCGAGAATGAACTGGTCAAGTGCTTCAAGGAGTGTGCCTACCCGTGACCGCGACATGGGATGAGCGGCACCCATGTCATTTCCCAGCCGCTAAACCGGAATTGGTCTCATCAACCTCAGCTCTTTCATACTCGCGCAAGAACAAGACTGAATTGCATCTTCGTGAAACTCGGGACTATAATCGCTAATCCACCTACACTCCATTGTACACAACGCTCAGGAACTCTCATATAATTGCATGCGGGATTGTTGCTCGCATTCTCTCAGGCGGCAATACGCTTACCATGTTCCAGGTTGGTGGCCGAATTTGAGGTTTATATATTTGATGCTGAGAATGTTTCTTGAATTTAGCCTCACCCCGGTGATCAATTTCACCTTCGTCTTCATAGGGCACGCTCAGTTGTATTAACGACACAAGAGTAAGTGCAGTACCACTGAGACAGGATTTACTCTGTCCAACAATACATATTCCATCTCGTGTTAGAACCAAAACATGTTATTGTTCGCAGTCTATAAGGAACGAGAGAAAGATGATGCAAATTGCTGACATGTACAGGCTCGTTGAGATCAGAGCAGCTCAGCGTACCTTCGAAGGTGCCTATGTCCGCACAGCTCTCGGCCAGTTCTCATTCGCCCTTATCATCCTCAAAGTCTTCACCGAAGAGTTCTATGCCATCGGCGCCCTTTTCGCTGTATATGGAGTTGCAGTGATGTTAGTAGCCATTTACCGCCGATATGAAGGCCAGAACCAGTTCTTTACTTCTGAATCCGCGGACGGGTCACTGAAGCGGAAATTCAGGACGAGTGGGAACAGTGTGTTGTTGCTGACCATGCTGAGCCTGAGTGCGTATATAACTTTGATGGTTTTGACATGGCGTCTCGTTTCATAAGGCCTGGTTTTGCACTCTCTTGTCAGGAACTGCCATCCATGCAACACGACGCCGGGATATCTTGAGACTTTCTCAGATTCTTCACAGGATAATAATACCTTGCACATTTGAAGCAGATAATCTACTCCCCTTCTGCCTGCTGCTTGCGACTCAATCCTCTCCGGTGTGCCTAGGTCCTTACACTCAAAGTGAAGGAAAAAGAGTGGATTGGCTCTCACCTGTCTTGAGAATACATGATAATGAACTATTACTCTAGCTGTTGAGGATATAATGATGGGGAAGATCCATAGTTTTCCCAATACTGAGAGTAGATTTTGATGATACCCGTCTAGTAGATCTTAAGTAATGGTATCAAGTTTGTGCAAATCTTGTCAACATCCCAGTAAGATAGATCAAGGCAACGCATCAGAAAGAACATTATATTTTCTATACAATTTCAGGCAGCATAAGTACTTACCTCTATCTAATAATTACTCTAGATAATTACGCTAATAATCATATGTTTTCCCACAGGGGATGGCGATTAATTGATTGTAAAGTTTAACTTTACTACGAACTCATGAATTACTTCAACTCTGCCTGTAACTTTCTGATCACCTGACTATGCAGTACTTAAATATTATTAAAATAATGAGTTGGGTCATCATTCATGAGTTTCTATATGCTTGCTTCAACAATTCACATCCCTCAACCGCCGAGCCCCTGGAGATCCTAGGGGGAAACACACACTCCTCCGACCGTTACCAAGTAAACGAATCGTTCTACAACACTATAAACTTCATCCATCAATATCAACTTCCTGAAATAAATTATGGAGGAGTGTCTGGCAACTTGCGTAGGCGAAATCTGTATGAGAGGCTGCTTCGCCTGATGTCTCTACCTCATCCAAAAGCTCATCGTCAAGAACTTCCGCCATCCGATAGTGCACTACGGTCGCCAATTTCAGATAAAGACGAAAATGCTGCCTGGTGTCTCCCCGTTCAGTGAAAAAGACCCTGGAATGGCAGACCACACCATGCGTTGGGCCGCTGTGACCCTGGGCTTCTCTTGGTTCATCTCAGCTCTTGCTCTCCCGATTTTCTGGACTGACAATGGCACCTTACTAAAACCCAAGGCTTGTTTATTGGATGGGTTGTTCCGTTATATGCGCTCTGTCTCGTCTGGCTAGGTTCCGTGCCAGATAAACGCCAATGGGAAAGCTACCTAGAAAGGACGGGGAGACTGCCACCACCTACGAGCCTCGAACAAGATATGATGTTATGTTGAAGTGCTTGATATTTTCCATATCCTTCTATTTACATACCAGCTCAGGCACTCAGGAAAAATGGTCTATACTTATTGAAGACATGACGGAAGCTTGATACTAGGAAAGAAGAACACCTTCCAGAACCTGATGTCAAGATAGGGTGAATTGGTCATAGCTATGCATGGCAAATACCCATCAAGGACTCATCCACTCAGCGTGGTGGCTTCTCTGTTGCGACAGAATATAAACAGATGTTAAGCTACGGATACTTGTCGGAAACAAAGCCAAGACTTTCGACTCGAGGTGTACAGACGTGGGCGGGTGGGATGATGTCGCTGTTAGAACCCAAGCAAAGCCATGTTAGTCTGAGGAATAGATGCATTTTCATATATATATATAAAAGATTTAAAACCCAGTCTTAGTCTACAAGGTCACCTGGGGCAAATCCAATAACCCAGATGTGGATTTTCAGGTCATGCCACAGCAGCCGAGTTAGAGCTACACAGTAAAGTAATATGTCAAAGCTTTATGAAACGCATAATAAGTTGTGATGTATCACATTCAGAATTACTGTCTTCATCAGTGTTGGCAGCACGTCACACAAGTGGGCTTAATCAACAAATGGATTTGAGGTCAAGTTAGATTCAAAAGGCTGCAGGCCGTTGAACAGTTCACAGTAACACAGCAGAGTAACACCAAAATAGGATACATATATCATTAAAGCCTTACTCAGATCACTAGACAGACTGAGCAAGCTGTCAACGCCGCCACTATAAACCATTATCGTCCTATTACAAGCCCAAGATATCTTCTGTGCTGTAGACCATCATCATTGGGTTTGATATACATTCATGGTCACATTATTTATGACATGTTGACCAGAGTTCCCCTGAAGTTGCTGGACTTGTCCGCTATTTTCATGAGACCAACCATCACCGTAGGTCTCTTGATTTTTCACATATGTGTATCCAGGATATGCCTGTGTTTGGTTCCATGTTGCGTAGTTGGTAGCAGGCACCGCGCTTGGTGGGAAGGGGACCGCTGTGTTCATATTGGAGCCATCGAACCCAGGGACTATACCGCTCATAGAAGTCGTATAGGCATCAGACAAAGCAGATGGTCTTCGCTCGAATTGTCGACCTGGAGCCATCAAAGAGTATTGGGAAGGATAGTTGGTGGTTAGAGGCTCTCCTCCGTACGACATGGACCGTGTTGGTGGTGCAAACTGACCCCAAGCCATGTCCATGTCCGCCTGGGGTACTGGCTCCGAGTTCCCAGGGGGCCAGCCAGATGGGGAGTGGTTCACTGAGGTAAATGGAGAGAATTGCGCACTCATCGGAGACCCTGTGGCATATGTATGCCACGGAGTACTCAAATTGGAAGACGAAGTTGGACTTTGCTCGGGCGCTGTAATTATCCAGCTGGTTGGATGTTGGTTTCCCGCTTCCGGAGGTGTCATATTTGTAGGTGAAGTCCCTGAAGCTGCAACTCTCAATTAGCTTAACATAATGACAAGTTGATAATCATAGATGGACCTTTTGTTTGAGGTGGAAACCCTTTGGCTCCATCAACTTCCGTGATTTTGGGAACTGTAATTGGCCCAGGCCTTTTTGAAGATGGCACAAACGGCGGCTTTGCCTTCTTCGGCTGCTCAACTGGATTGCTGATCGGAGTTGCCGGAGACGAGGTTGCCGAGCTTCCCTTTGGACCTGTAGAAGATTTCGATGTTTGTTTACCTCGCGAATCGTCAATCGATGCTTGGTCTACTGGGAAGAAACTGCAATCTTTCTTCAAACGGATACAGTTGATACACCGTCCTTGTGTATCATTGGGCGACGTGATGCATCTGATCTTTCGGCGCCGGCAGTGCCCTTGTGAAAACAAGTTAAGACGAGTACACTCATGTATTGGCAGACCTTGACCTACCACAAGCCACCGAAGTACGATGGTAACCCAGTTTGTTTCTTTTCTTCTCGCCCATATTCCCGTTTTGCTGTTGCTCTTCTGCCTCAGAAGCCAGTAAGGAAGCACTGTTCGGTGCTGAGTATGAACCCTTCATATCCGGACCACGCTCTTGGCCTAGTAATGGGGTATGAGGGTCGACCATCGTCATTGAAGAGAGCTGTTGAGAAGGAAGCGTATAGGAAGGCATGAAGCCTTGGGGTGGCATACCCATCTCATTATCGGCAGGGGATAGTGGTGGATAATGGTAAGACATAACGCCAATCATGGGAAACCCGGACGATGTACTCTCCCACGAATTACCAGCTCTAAACGAATAAAGTTTCGAGCAGTCTTGCGACGTTATCGCGATGGCCATGGACAGTATGCGGTGCAGTGGTTGTGGTTGTCGGCAATGAGTTTAGCTGGGTACTCTTCCAGCATTCGAAGGCGTGAGACAAATTTGACTGCTTGAAAAGAATGGATAATCGGATCGAATTGAGTCGAGAGCTTCTGCCAGCTGTAACTGGGAGCCGGAAACTTCGTAGAGGTGGTATGTCGGGAACGACACACTTGGATAGAAGTATCGGTGCCTTGCAGTATCGGTACACAAGACGAAGACATATAATAGAGAAGGTCCTTAGAGACGACGTTGCTGAAGAGCCTGGGTCGTAATAGTGATACCGTTTTTAGGGGAACGAAGTATACATTGACCAGCAGGGCTTTCTAAATCTGGCAGAAAGATAAAGCAGCGAAGAAGAAGCCCCCAGCGCGGCAGCAGGTGAAAGTACGTTGTGAGGGAAGATCAAGCTCAAAGATAGCAACAATAATAGGATCAGGTCTCTGACCAGATCAAAATGTGGTCCCTGGCATGTATTTGACCTCTGGTCCCGAAGACGATCGACTTCTAGGGTCAACGCAGACAAGGGTCTATGCTCTTAAAGATAATGTATCTAGCGGCAACTAAGCCATGGACCAGGAAAGGGGGGTGTCTGGGGGTGTGAGGGATTCAGATCGAGTCGGAGGCTAAACCGACCAAGGTGGTCTAGTATGCAGTCTCTTGTGGATTTAGCACTGATGAGTACCGACGACTAAAATGGTGGATAATAAAATGAGTGGTGACAACGAAGTAGTTGGAGCGCCACCCTGATGTTATATTGGCTCAGAGCAAGCTGGGTGCAACATTGGCTACCTAAGCGGTTGTCGACAGGTCAGAGATCGATGGTGTTCAATACTTTCCCTAGTATATTCTCCTGCCTGTGTGGTGTTCTTTTCTTTTCTCGACTTGCCCCGGCGGTGGTGGGCTAAGACTACCGCTGAAGTAACAGCACGTAAGTTTGTTGATGACAAGCGGCCAAGACATTCCTGGCCCAGGGCCGCAGAAGATGGGCCAGCATAAGTGCCAACTGGGATGCAAGATCAAAACTAAACCTGAAGATCCTTGGAGGCAACAGGGATGATATGGACAATATCACACAGCTGCTTTTCCCAAGTAATCCTTCAGCAAGCGTGATTGTTGAGTAGTGTCAATTTAAGCCTCTCGATACTTCCCAGCAAAGGAGCGGCTAAATCATAACGCGGGGCTTCACAACCAGAGTCAGAAAGAAATATGAGCTCATCAATGGTTTTTAACAACTATCGAGAGGTGCTTGCCGACCTAAGATCCTATGGAGTTTAGGTCGTACGCTGGGCCATAGAGTATAGTGGCTCCAACCTCCACTGAGCTGCGTTCGGTGATGGCGGTTTGCGGAGGAACCTAGCCAACAATACAATTGCTCTTGCTTGTGAGGCTTACAGTACGAGGCCGTCACCCCTGTCAGGATACGAATGCCGGGACCGGGGCACAAGGGCAAGAAAGCCGGGGCCCCGATGCCATAGACTTGATGGCCCATGAGTTGCGGTGCATGAGCACGGGGCATTGAAGTTGACGTGAGTGATGGCCTTTCTCCTGCATCAGTCCCAGCAGATGTAAAGAGC